TATCTATAACCGCTTTAACAAAGTAACACAAACTAAGTGACTTTAAAAAACAGAAATTAATTGTCTCATCATCTGGGAGGCTAAAATTCCAAAATCAAAGTCTTGGCTGAGCCATACTCGCTCAAGAGATCTAAGGAGAATCTTTTCCTTGCCTTCCTCTTAGCTTCTAGTCACCCGTTATCCCTTGGCTTGCAGCCACACAATGCCAATCTTGCCTGCGTTTGTCACACAGTCTTATTGGTGTGTCAGTCATATTACGTTAGGGCCTATCCTACTCAAGTATGACCTCATTTTAACTCATATCTGCAAGGACCCTATTTCCAAGTAAGGTCAAATTCTGAGGTTGTAGGGGTTAGGATTTCCACTTATCTTTTTAGGGGGACGTAATTCAACCCATAAAAGTTCTATATGTTCATTTTGTAACTACCCACTTCAATTTGCTCATTGCTTCTGATTATCTTAAGGGTGACTGACTGACTTGTGTTTTCCTGATACGCTTATCAACTGCATATGAAAATGCCTTTTTCAATATTTTCATTTTACCCTTTTATCTAATCTGATTAGCTAGTATTTTATCTCATAGGCCCTTATCTCATCATTCATCTTTTAAAATTTTGCATCGTTTTTAAACTTTGAATTTGATTACTACTGGAACATTTAAAAAGCTATGCATTTGCATTCCTTAATTTGTGAACTGTGTGTTTCTATGTTTTCTCTATTTTTTTTATATGCTGGGGATTTTTTTTCTGATTACTTTAAAAGGGCTCTTTGTGCATTAAAAATATTAATCTCTTGTGACATATATGTACCTTGTCAACTAGCTGACAGTCAACAAAAAGCACAAAACAAAGGCACAGATCTATTGTAACATAAATTAATTTTACCTTTCTGTGCAAGTCCAATACATGAACAAATACCTCTCATATTACGAGAGCTGTAAGACTAATAGTGGAGTGCAATGTAGATTTATATGAAGCACTCTTGAAAATTTCAAGTACACTAATACTTATAACTTGTTTCATAGTGCACCATTTCTAAACCATTCAATTTCTTTCCAGCTAAAGCACTCAAGAGTATCAAGGACCAAATTACCCGATTAACCCTTTCATGACAAATGCTTAACAGCTCTTGCTCACATTCATGTCAAGTTTACACTGACATTTAAAGGTCCTGACTTGCCATCAAAGAAAGGATTAATCTGTCCTTGGTTTATCTAAATGACCAAATAATAAGATTTAAGTGATAACCAGCTGTAGAATATGTCCTTATTAAATTTGATAGGATTTTTAAAAAGCCAACTAATGTAATGAAGTTTGCAAAGTAATTTAGATTAACCAGGTTTGACTGCTCAATTTGGAAGTGATTCGATGCACAGGTATAGGCGTAGAGACAATTTTTAAATATTAGGCTTTGAATATTCTTGACTGGAAAGTCAAGAAATGTTAAATGAACATTACAATATATTGCCTTAACCAGCTTTCATTACTCTTTACATTCCTTCCTAAGGAACTGTTTACATGACTTACCCACCTGGTCCAGTATAGGATTGAAGAAAGATGACTTGGTTCTTTCTTAGGATGTTAATATTTCTCCAGAATGGAAATGTTCCAAAAGCCCAGCCTGAAAGGTCCTGTGCAAGACTTCGGGGAAGTACTTTGATTTACTAGGACTAACTGCCCATGGGCCAAGAATGTCCAAGTGAAATTCTAGAATTTGGGAATGCTCTTAACAACAGCAGTAAAACTGGCCTACATTTGGTGCCTTTACTCATTTCATATGTTATATTTCTTTATCCTATGAACTTTCTTACTTAGAAATGAGGTACCCTTTGCAATACAGAAAACTATACAAAAAAGTTAGGCTTACTACTTGATTCTGTCATTTGTGTGTCTTTGTTTTGTTTACCTGTCCTATGGAAGCCATTGTATTTGTCTGTGGAAGGACTAAGAGCACCTAACCAATGTTAAGTGATTACACTTGACCATCATGACACTTTATACCAACAGTTTATATAACATTCACTTACACAACTGCTCTGAGACCTAAAAAGTATTACAGATGACAGAACTTTTATAATTAAACCAAGGTCTGACTGTATTGTATTAGGATAGTGTTTTTCACAACCCACTGGCAGGTGGTTATGATCACTATTAAAAAATGAAACAATAAAAAACATCTGAGAAATTGTACATATTAAGGATACTTATTATTTTATGTACTGGGTCACAACGGAAAATGTTTCTTAGTGTGATTTGTGGCCAAAACAGTTTGAAAAGCTCTGTGTTGTGTTTTTGATGTGATGGAACCCTTCATAGTATTCTCTCACTACAAAGGTTCAAGATATTTTGCTTTTCACTTATTCTACAAATGTTTGTGAGCAACTGCTATTTTGATTGGGGGTCAGGTGTCGGCAGTAGGGAGAAAAGGCAACATCCCTTTTGGTAACTTCTACCTATTGTTACACAGATATAAGGCTTTAAATAGAAGCTTAAAAACAAGTTAATGCTGAATCACTTACAACTGTTATTAATTTAATGTGCCTCTTGGTTGTGAAAAATTAAGGGAAATGTGTCAAAAATTCCCAGGAGTAAGTTTTCACAGAATTCTAGGCTTTTTGCTGCTTCTCATCAATACTTGGAGAGATCCAGTATAAAATCTATAGCTGAGGTAGGAATTGTCTAAAGATACGCTTTTTTCTTTTTTAGCTACGTTGCTTTTTGATAAGAAAATACTTTTTTCCCAATAAACAATATTCAGATCATATGATTTGTGAGAGAGAAAGGAAGGGGTCGGGGGTGAGGGAAACGACAACTGGATGCCTCCTGTATGCGCCCTGACCAGGCATCAAACCCACAGCCTTATTAAGGTGTATGGATGACATTCCAACCAACTTAGTCACCCAGTCAGGGCACTTTTCTTTTTCTTTCTTTTTTTTTTTTAAGATTTTATTTATTTATTTTTAGAGAGGGAAGGGAGGGAGATAGAGAGAGAGAAACATCAATGTGCGGTTGCTGGGGGCCATGGCCTGCAACCCAGGCATGTACCCTGACTGGGAATCAAACCCGTGACACTTTGGTTCGCAGCCCACGCTCAATCCACTGAGCTACACCAGCCAGGGAGCACTTTTCTTTTTTTTTAATGGTGTGCACTCTTCAAGCTTTAATTGGTCAGAAAACCATTTGCTATGAATACATATAATACTTATGTATTTGACAAAATACTGAAATGAGATGTTTTACATTAAAAATAGTCAAACACTTTAAGTAATATCTCATTTGAAAAAATAAGGGCTAAACTGTCGGGTGCTTAGTAATTTTATCTACAAATATTTTCAATTCTCCTGGTACTCAAAGCTCTCATATTGAACCTCAGTATAAAAATTTACATTGTAATTATAGTTTTTATTTCCACACTCTTCTCCCCTACTAAACTACTTATTAAATGGCATGCAATATGTTTCAAGATGATGACATTTCAATTTAGAAATGCTTCTGATGTATGTTATTCTCTAATGAAGTAATTTTCTGCATGTACAAAGATTTTATAAATGATACATTCTGTACTTTAAAACAAGAGTAGCCTTTATAAATAACGTTAGGAAAGAATATTATTTTCCACTTCTCTAATCGTAACATATTCAATGTTTTGATTTCTAGCAACCATTTGCAATTTCTAAAAACCAAACCACACTATGAGTCTGTAGCTGCAAAAATGCAAGTTTTACTATTTTCTTCAATTATGAGTTTAAAGTTTAAGTGCTATTATACCTATTTTGGTTCATTAGGTCACTGCTCATGTTAGGCTGACAATATAAGGCTCATACACATTTTCTAGTAATAGAGAACATGAGTTGTTACATATTTTTAGAAAATGAACTCAAATGGTTAGGTGATGGGTTTATAATTGTACTGAAAAAATACCTGTGATAAAGCAATGCTCTTTTCTAGTTAATCAAAAATAATCCAGGTTTGGCTATGGCCAGTGTATTTTGGAGCTGGCTCATTACCTTCCCAACTCTGTGTTCAGTGATGTCACGTTACTAGCTTGAAATCAGCCACAGTAGTAGAATTTATACCACAAAAATCAGCAACACCTAACTCAGAGTTTCCTTTCTCATCTTTAAGAGCCATTAAACATTTCCCAACACACCAGTGGCATTAGAGGTTATTTCTTCAAAATACAACTCAATTCTTTTTTTTTTAATTTTTTATTTAATTTTTTTTTAGAGAGAGGGGTAAGGCGAGAGAGAGAGAGGGAGAGAAACATCAGTGTATGGCTGCCTCTTGCATGTCCCCACCTGGGGACCTGGCCTGCAACCCAGGCATGTGCCCTGACTGGGAATTGAACAGGCGACCCCTTGCTTTACAGTCCAGTGCTCAATCCACTGAGCCACACCACCCAGGGCTCAATTCTTTATTGTTCATAGGAATCTTTATTTGAACATTAAATGGCTGGTGTTTTCTGTATAAATCTGTCTTTCTGGAAAAAAATTTAAATGTTTCTCATTAGTAGTGAAAATGATAGACTTTCACTGTGAAGTGATAAATATGTGGTTCTTCTAATCAGGGAGTTGTACCCTATTCAGAAGAAATTGCTCAAAATTTGGATTTTTATCTAAAAAATAAAACGGTATCCTGGGTTTTTTTAAAAAAGATGTTATTTATTTTTAGAGAGAGGGGAAGGGAGGGAGAAAGAGGAGGAGTGGAACATCAATGTGTGGTTGCCTCTCGTGTGCCCCCTATTGGGGACCCTGCCCGCAACCCAGGCATGTGCCCTGACTGGGAATCAAACCAGCAACACTTTGGTTTGCGGGCCCATGCTTAACCCACTGAGCTACACCAACCAGGGCAGTATCCTGTTTTTAACTCAAACTATACTTATAAAGCAAAATATTTGAACTTCAAATAGAATCTAACAAACTTTAATTCTCTGTCAAAAATGTCTATGATTTAATAATGAAAGTTTAATTAAAATATTTCGTAAAAAAGTATAAAAAACGATTTTATTAGATGAATTCATTTATTTGACACATTAAATTAGGCAAAGAAAAATATTTGCAACTACATAAAAAGAATCACATTCTCATACTACTTGAACAAACAGCAGTGGTCAAAAACAATGAATTGTGGAATGAATCCCAGGTTTAATTGCAAAAAACACCCTGTACAGAAAAACTTTAGGCTTCTAACTTCACTGAATCCAGTACTAAACGTGCTTCCTTATATTCCTCAGCTTCTTCCAACTCCTTTTCACTCTCCTAAAATGAAATATAGTAAAAGTAAGTTTATCCTTCTCAAACTTTAGTACTTTATTATTTACTCAAGTATTACAAACCATCAATGTAAATAGCTCAAAAATTAAAAGAAAAAGGCTTCCAAGCCTCATCTAAATATAGTGTAATTCCACAGGTTCTTTTCCCTGTAGTTTTTTTTTTTTTTTTACAGGTAAGAGAAGAAATAGGTTTGGTGTGGTCTCATTGTATATTTCTCATATCATAAGTGAAAATATGGTCATCTAAAGCTATTAACATTAAGTAATTGAATAAGAAGTTAAGAAAAATTTTTAAAAATGTATTCCTGTTTTGTCAACACATCATAATACAGAAGGGATTATTATTAATCATGGACTAAAAGCAAAAAACGATGACTTCTTAATGTGTTACATATATGAAAATTTAGACCAAAATAATTCCAAAGCTACTCACAATGACAAAGACGACTCGGGGATGATGCCAGAGTTAAGTATAATCTTTGAATTAGAAAAGTGAACTTCCTGCCTATTAATAAACATTATATATCCTCCCATAAGGAAACAAAATACTAACATTTTTCCTTTTTCAATATTTAAAGACTGAAATTTTCCTTCATAGTTTATATAAAAAGCTTTAATATATTATAGTGGCAACAGATAAATGAAATATTATCATCTAAGTTATTATGCATAGCCAATTTTGCTTGGTATTTAATAAATAAACAAGGCTATGGTCAGTAATTCAGGTCAGGTCAACGGAAGATGGAGATATACAAGCAGTTGCAGAGCAGAGGGAATAAAATGTGTATATTTATGTAATATAAAACTTAAAGCAAAAGGAGTAAGAATTTGCTTAATTCAGACTATAGGTAAGAATTTCTTAAACCTCTGCATTATACTTGTCTTTGTTCTCTATCAGTAAATATAAGCTCTTTGAGGGTAGAGATATTGCTGAATACATTCTCAAACACATCATCCAAAGAAAATATTATTTTTTTCAAGCAATTTCTATTCATTTCTTTGCTACTAGATTCATGAGAGAAAAAAATCATTCAAATTGTCAGGAAATACAGATGATGCTTCTGTCTCAAGTAATATTTTAATAGAGTAATTATTTCTTGCTTTCATCTACTCTTTATTTCAAAATCATAGCTTTGTTTTTGGCTGTTAAGGAAAGCAATCTCGCCTTTAAAAGGTTCCTATTGATAAATACAGGGTTCTACATCAAAATTACAGTAAAATGTGAATATTTCCCCCTTTCTCTCTCTACAGATTTAGTCTTAATGCTATTTTTGTGGGAAAACAAATCTCATTCTCCTTCAAAGAATATATATGATCACACTGAAAAAGCCTCACATTATTCTTGTTATATAAGGAACAACTATGAATCAGGAGACATCTGTGTAGCTAGCAATTAATATTAGCTCAAGAAATAGAAATATTAAATGAGATTAATAAATGTTAGAATTCATCAAATTACCATCCATATATATTCCAATTGGCTTGTATATAGTATTATGCTTTTTATTTCTTTTAGGACAGAAATAAGATGACTTAATTATTCTTAGAATTCTTTATAAAATGACTGCCACTGTATCACAAAGCATTTATAAAGCAAGTATAATAACAGTGTATCTAGCTCCAATTTAATGTAAGAGGACTATCTAGATCACAGGGTTTTTCTCTCAAATTAATTTAGGTTTAAATCTGAAAGAATTCCAGACCCTTTTTATTATGGTCCAAATTCATTTGACACATTTACGATTTTCTAAAATTTCAAACAATCTACTCACCTTCAATGTGTGAAAAAAAGATCTTCATGTATGAAAATCAAGTAATTCAAGATACTGGGGAACAATATTAGTACCATGAATACCTACCATGTTAACTCAAATATATTAAGTTTAAATAAACAGAAAAAACATACTGGACATAGTACTTTTACTGAAGGCATAATTTAAACCAAAATTTAAACTGCATTAATTATTCTGAATATATTGGTACCACTGGGTAAGTGAACAAAATATGTCACCAACTCGTTTTCACTGTAAAATATTTAAAAATGTTGATCTTTTATATCAGATTGAAAAAAATTTAAACATAAGACAGAGAATCTTTACTTACTAATATTTGCAGAAGATCAGCGTATGCCGCTTCCAACCTGCGCTGGCAATCTGGGATCATCATCCGGGACTCTTGCAGGATCTCTGCCTATAACAAGAATCTCTGTGAGACAGGCAGAAATGACAGAACTTATGTATTTAGCTTACACCTCTATAAATATCTAAAGTGATTCTTAGGAATCAGAAAACAATACAGATATGTAAAACAGTTCCATATTTTAATTTAATTTTTTTATTGACTGCTCTGAAAGCGAGAAGGAGAGATCTATTTTTGTTGTTTCACTCATTCATACATTCACTGGCTGATTCCTACATATGCCCTAATTGGGGGTTGAACCTGTAATCCCAGCACATCCAAACAACACTTAATTATTCCACTGACCCACCCAGCCAGGACTCAATATTTAATTTAAATTATGTTTATTAAAAGTCAGAATGACTATCATACTGTAAAATATACAAAGCACAAGTTTTAGATCTAAACCTTTTTGGTAACACCTTCTTGTGCTAAGTGAAAATTAACTGGAAAAGCTTTCCATAGAGCATTTATTTTAAAAGGCTATTTAAAATAAACTATTTCTCCTGCTGTCACAAAGCACCTTTATCCAAAATGGGATCAGCTGGTTATATAAATATCTCCTGCATCTTTTGAGTAATAAAGAAAAACACTGTTCAGATAATATCACATGGAGATAATTACTGCATGAAGAAAGTTATTGAGTTATTGATCACATCGTGTGCACACTGCAGGAGGTTCTCACTGAAAGACAGAGGGAAAGAAAAATGAAAAGCAAAGACCAGCAGGTTCATATTTTTGATGCTTATCATGCATAAAAAGTTATTACTTATCCTTGTGCTTCATTTTAGGAGACAGATTATTCTCCCCATGTAGTTTGAGCCAAATTACTAACCTAGCATCCCTCTGAATCTGAACTCCTGCCTCTTCCTACAGAAGACACCACAGAATTAAACACAGGACTATTTATTCCAACATATGTTTCTGGACTTAAAAATATTCAAAGCTCGACTATAACATATAAAATCATCGAAGAAAAAAAATCAAATCAATGACTCAGAGACCCAATCAATAAGGGGGTAAATAAGTTAGTTTCAGATATTGGATCTCAAAAAAGTCTTTTTCCTAAGGTAAACAGGAAGCCTTATTTCCTTAAAACTATTTTCAGAAAGAGACACAATGATCAATTAAGCATTTGTTTCCAAATACTCATGTGTGATCAAATACCTTTGGTTAAATGAGTACAAAAACCTGAACTTCTACTAAGATTAATTATCTAGCTCATATAAAATAAAAAGAAAGCATAACTTAATGGTAATTATAATGTATTTTAACAGAAACTTTAGTAAGTCCCAGCCCCAACAGTTTTGTCATAGCTCACACTGTAAACAAAATCAGAACTCTAATATACAACGATGCTCTCTCTGTCCATATTTTCTCAGGTGAAAAGCTACTACTGAACTTGTAATTCTTTTACTGATAAGACACAGGTTGAAAGTTTCAAATGTCGAACCATGACTTGACTTCACAGCCAAGCATACTATATATTTAATCACCACCCTTACATTATTTTTGTGTATCTGGTTAGTCTGAATCCATGTGAAAAATCAGTGGCAGGTACATTTCATTGGGTAAGCAATTCATATTTCTTCCCCTATAAATTTCCCCTATAGAAACTAAACAAGATAAAAGAAAGAATAGGTCAAACACATGACAAGCCAAATGTATACTTGTAAACTTTTTTAAAAAGCTTTAGTAAGTTGTCACTGAAATAAACTTTAAACAATGCTATCCAAAATAACTTCTGTTCATTATCATTTTATTCATTATTATAGAGCCAGAATCATCACTTATAGTTTATCAAAATGGGACTCTGAGTTAATGTGGGGCCAAAGATTAGTGTCTCCTGTACCCAGCCCCAATTCGTTCAATAAGCTTACTATATAGCTGCAGGACACCAGGTACAGGAGATACAAAAATGGAAAGAGAAGGTGTCCATCTTCCAATCCAGTATAAAAGCATAAACATAAAAACAAACATTTGACACTGCTTCTATAAGGCCATGTCAGAGGGAGCTGAAGGCTTCCAGTACAGTGATGACTATGATTTGGAATCCAAAATGACATCTCTTACAAGGCCATAAAGCATATATTTTACCTTGTAACAATGAATTACAACTGTCAGAAATAGTTTTAAAAGACAGTATATAAGGTGTGATTATACAGTAAAGACACCCCTCAAAATACTTTCACTACACTAAATGAGTATTACCTTTCAAAGTGTTCCTTTGGGAGGAAGTCACTCAAATGAATGGCATCTTTGTTTAAAATATCTGAGTAAACTGTCAGTTTATTCTAATGCTCACTATGACAAGACTGAGGTTAGGCCAGAGTCTTGATACAGAATGGGAAGTACAAGGAAGCTTAGGGGAACACAACAGGTTGAAGTCTTACTAATTTCTCATTGTTTTAAAAAAAATTACACTTTTTTGAGGATGTTATTTAGGTAAAATGGAAGTTAGAGGAAGCTTAGTAAGGCTCAGGTTATAACAATGAATAACAACTGAATTAAAATCTGATCAATTTCCTTTAAAATCAAACATATATAAATTGGAGGGAAGACACTCTAATTGGCAGATCGTCATCCCCCGCCAGCCCCAAGAAGAAGGGTTCTGTGAAATAATCTGGCCAACGTTAAATTCTTCTATCGCTTGATTGGCATAAGGATTCCAGCTTCTTTAATGATCCAGATCATTCTCACCTAGGGCTAGCTCTAACTATAATCTACAGATACTCCAACATTGGATGCTGGCTGCTCCTGAAACCAATGGTAACTGCCAAACTGAGCTCCAGAGAAGTTCAGAGATAACGGAACAATGATTATGGTTTTTTTTTATATTATGGTAAAATGGCAATGTGTTGATAAACATGTCGATAAATCCATTTGACAAAAAAAGAATGAAAATGGCAGCTATATAAGGTGATGGATTTGTTGAGTAGCTTGACTGCAGTGAATAGTTCACATTGTACACATACGTCAAATAAAATCAGGTTGCACATCTTAAATCTATATAATTTTAAACATTCACCCATACCTCAGTAAAACTGAGTGGGAAAAGATATAAAGATACTCTTGACAGAAAAACAGATGGAGAATCACAGAGTCAGAAAGGACATAGTGGTCATCTAGTCTAGTCTCAATTTACATATAAGAAAGTCAAGCCTCAGAGTGATTAGCTAGTTGACAGGGCCTGAGTTACAGCTGACGACATTGATTTCAACTCTTAGCATGTGAATTAGTGGTAGTGGTAGCCAGTCTCCACTATGGCCCCCAATGATCCTCATCTCCCGGAATTCTTGCCCTTGGGCAGCCACTTCCCATACCGAATTTGGGTTAGCCCTGTGTGACCAATGGAATGTAGTGGGGTGGGATTCTGAGACTGAAGATCTGAGATTAGGTCTTAAAAAGCCTTATAGTTTCCACATGGCTTCTTGGAATGCTTACTTTTGGGAGCCCTTCTCTCAAACTACAAGAAATTCATTTGACTTGTGTTTGAGGTTATTGCTGATTAATTAAAGATGTAAGAAGAATCCCATGGGTCAAAAATAATCTGGTTTCTTAAACTCTAACAATAGCAATAATTATTATTTTAAATATAAATGGTCTAGATTCACCAGCTAAAAGACAGACATTCACAGATTGGATCCAACTTTTTGGAGTCTACAAGAAACTCACTTCAAACAGAACAAAATAGATAGAAAATAAAAGGATGAAAAAAGACATGTCATGCATTAAACATTAAAAAAAGGAGTGGCTCTATTAATGTTGGATAAGTGGATAGACTTCAGAGCAAAAAAACTTAGGAAGAAAGAGCATTATTACACAATGATCAAATGATCAACCGCCAAGAAGACATAGTGATCCTAAATGTGTATGCACTAAACAAGATATTTTCAAAATACAGAAAACAAAAATTGATAAAATAAGGGTCAAATCCACAAATATATTTGGGGATTTCAATATCCCATAGAAGTACTAGACAAAAAGAAACCAGCAAAGAGATAAAAGAACTGAACAACGCCATCAACCAATAAGATCTAACTGACATTTATAGAAGATTCTACCTAAGAAAGTTAAATACAAATACTTTTCAAGCAGCCATGAAATATTCACAGCAATACAGTGCATACTGGGACAAATAACAACAACAACAACAACAAAACAAAATAAAAGGAGGACAAACAGAAAAATCTTTAAACTCTTAGAAGTTAAACAACATATTTCTAAGTAACCCATGGGTCCACAAGAAAGTCTCAATGGAAACAGAAATATATAGATAAGTGAAAATAAAAATATAACACATCAAGTTTTGCAGGATTCAGCTAAAGCAATGCTGAGAAATTTACAGCACTAAATGCTTACATTAGAAAAGAAGATGTCAAATTAAAAATCTAAGTTCTTAGTTCAGGAACTTAGAAAAGGAAGAACAAAATAATCCCAAAGCAAGTAGAAGGAAGAAAACAATAGAAATAAGATCTTAAACCAATTAAATTAAAAACAGAAAGACAACAGAAAAAGCAATGAAACAAAGAGATGACATTTTGAAAAAAATTGATAAACCTTTGTGAGAACAACAAAGATAAAGTAAGAAGGCACAAACCACCAGTATCAGTAGTAAAAAAGAGCACTACGGATCTTGCAACCATTAAAAGGAGAAAAAAATACTACAAACAATTTTATAATATTCTTCATGATGCTCCTGATTTTAACAACTTAGAAGAAATGGAAATCACTAAAACTCAGCTGATAACCTGAATAATTCTATGATCATTAAATAAATTAAATTTGTAACTTAAAAGTGCTTGAAAAAGCAAATCACTAAAACTCAAGTGATAACCTAAATAGTTTTATAATCAAACACCTTGAATTTGTAATTAAAAAGTTCCTGAAAAAGAACTCTCCAAGCTCAGATTGTTCCACTGGACAATTTTATCAAATATGTAAAGAAGAAATTAGTACCAATTTTACACAGATCCTTCAAGAAAAAAGGAGGGAACATTTCCCAGCTCATT